ATACTCATTTGTTGATTCCATATAGTGAAGTATCCTCCGAGCTCTGAGCTCAACCCGTGGTTTTTTCCGTTTGGATTTTCCACGTATATTCTTGTGTCCATTCTTTATGTGATTATCTTTTATCTTTTTGTCATTAAGAATAAGAAACTGAAGTGGTGTTGAGAAGTTTCGCGGTTCATCAACACCAACATGTGGTATCAGAGCGAGGTTGTGGTGTTCTTAATGGCTGAAGAAAAGTCAATAATCGGTGGTGTGAAGGTTGAGTTGAAGCCATTCGATAGGCGAAGCAATTTCACACTATGGCAGCGTAAGATAAAGAATATCTTGATTCAGCAAGATCTACACATGTGTATTATAGGGGTCGAGCACAACCCGGAGACGATGTCTATGGAGGCTTGGAATAAGGTAGACCTCAAGGCGATGAACTCGATTGAGCTGCACTTATCCGACAAAGTCACGTACAACGTGATGGAGGAGACTACCGCAAGGGGCACATGGGAGAAGTTAGAGAATCTCTACATGGGAAAGACTCTCTCTAACAAGCTTTTCTTAAAAAATAATTTTTTTAATCTTCGTATGGAAGATGGAGATGATATTATGGAGCATCTTAATGTGTTTAACCATTGTATAACGGATTTGTTACGAGTGGGGGTCAAGTTTGAAGAAGAGGATAAAGCTTTGCTTTTGCTACGATCCTTGTCGTCGTCATTCAAACATTTCCGGACCACACTCATGTTTGGCAAGGAGACTCTTCGGTTTGAAGAGGTTGTTCAAGACATCATCTCTCATATGTCAAAATGAATAAGAGCACGGGGGTTGACTTGAAAAATGAAGGCCTACTCGTCAAGGGGTTGAACGATCGAGGTCGATCCAAGGAGAAATGTGAAAAGTTAGACAACCGCGGGAGATCTAAATCCAAGAGCCACAAGGATAAGGAGTGCTACTACTGTCATAAGAAATATCACTTCAAGAAGATCTGCAAAAAGTTCAAGGCAGATCAAAAAGAAGGGAAGAAATCTGAAACCACCTCTATGGCTGGAGTTGCCACGGAGAATAGTGTCGAGCTTCTTTCAATTTCGTTGGGTAAAACTATATCTAATTCTTGGATTCTTGATTATGGTTGCTCTTTCCATATGTGTGCAAATATGTTTTGGTTCGACACATATGAAAAGAAGGATGGTGGTAAAGTCCTCATGGGGAACAATGTCGCGTGCAAGGTCATCGGCATTGGCACAGTGAATGTGAAGATGTATGATGGCATCATTCGCACTTTCGGCAATGTGCGACATGTTCCTACACTAAAGAAGAACCTGATTTCTTTGGCCACTCTAGATGCAAGCGGCCTCACCTACTCCTTAGGCGGAGGAAAGATCAAGATTTATAAGGGCTCGATGGTGATCATGCGAGGAGAGAAGCTTCACAATAACTTGTACAAGCTTCTAGGAGATACTATCTTAGGGAAAGTTGTCGTATCCACAACTTCCAAAGAGGACTCCAAGATTGACTCTGGGAAAGACTCGACTCACCTATGACATCTTCGTCTTGGCCATATGAGTGAGTGGACTATGGAGGAGTTGCACAAGAGGAATCTATTGAAGAACATGAAGACTTTCCAGTTGTATTTCTACGAGTATTACGTACTTGGAAAGCAATGCAAGGTCTCATTCAAGCCTACAAACAAGGAGAATCGTGCAAAGGGGATTCTCGGCTATATTCACTCCGATATATGGGGCCGACACCTACAAAATCTCATGGTAGTGTTCGTTATTTTGTCACCTTCATGGATGACTATTCACGAAAAATTTGGGTCTACTTCATGCGGAAGAAATCTGTGGTCTTTGAGAAGTGCAAAGAATAGAAGGCAGAAGTAGAGAACCAAACTGGACAGAAGATCAAATATTTGCGAAGTGACAACGGACGTGAATATCGTGATGGGCGGTTCCTAGCGTTTTGCAATCAAGAAGGCATTACATGACACTTTATCGTGAAGAAAACTCCACAACAAAATGGTGCGGCGGAAAGGATTAACCAGACTCTTATGGAGAAAGAAAGATGCATGAGACTTCATGCAGGATTGCCCGAGTCTTTTTGGGCTGAATCCGTTAATCATGCTGCCTACTTGGTTAATCGGTCACTGTCTAAGCTTGCTGAACTTTAAATGCGCCAAAGAAGTATGGTCAGACAAAGAAGTTGACTATTCTACTCTGAAGGTTTTCGGATGCAAGGCGTATGTTCATATTCCGAGTGACGAAAGAAGTTGACTATTCTACTCTGAAGGTTTTCGGATGCAAGGCGTATGTTCATATTCCGAGTGACGAACGGAACAAGCTGAAGCCAAAGTCACTCGAGTTTCGGATGCAAGGCGTATGTTCATATTCCGAGTGACGAACGGAACAAGCTGAAGCCAAAGTCACTCGAGCGTATTTTTCTTGGTTTTGAGAGGGAAGTGAAAGGCTACAAGCTATGGGATCCGAAAAACAAGAAGAAAGTGATGAGTAGAGATATCGTGTTTGATGAAAGACTTGGAGCTGAAGCTATTGACAAAGATGAGGATCGTGAAGAGAATCGTTGTCGTACTAAAATTCATTTATCAACGGAAGGTTATATTCCAGAAAGTCAAGCTGAGATGGAGCAACACGACGAGAAGCAACAAGCTGAAGAGGTTCATGCAAAACCTACAAGCATAGCACAATCAAGACAGAGAAGAGTCATCAAGCCTCCTCAACAATTCAGATGGGAAGATGAAGCCTGCTATGCACTCTTAGCTAGCGGAGAAGATCCTTCTACTTTCAAAGAAGCCATAGAAAGCAATGAGCCACAAGAATGGATAGGTGCTATGTCGGAGGAGATGCAATCTCTCCATAAGAATTCAGTTTTGGAGTTAGTTTCGAAACTGTAAGATCGAAAGATCATCGGCTCCAAGTGGGTTTATCAGAAAAAGGAAAACACCAATGAAGCAGAGGCTCCTACCT